GGCTGTAGCTACAGCAACCGGATTCAATGGCGATAGCTGGCCTTACACCTATATACGTAGCTACAATACATACAAGTGTTTGGAATTTACATTTCCGTTGCCACATAAAGCCATGGTTGTGACAAATACTAAGCCCTGCAGCTCCCTGTGTCCACCTGCATCCTCATTGGAAAAAGCAGAACACCCCTGAGGCTCTGCTCCTTCTGTTAGATGTCAAGTATGGGCGGCGCAGTGGTTAGCACTTCTGCCGTGCACCAGAGGGTCTATGGTTCAAATCCCGGGCAGGTCAATATCTTCAAGCCGTTTGCATGCTCTCCCTGTTCTTGTGTGATACTTCCGGTTTCCTCCCTGGTAGGTTAATGGGCTCCGGTCTAAATTGGCCCTCACATGTTGGCATGTGGGACCTTAGATTGTAAGCTCCTTGAGGGCTGATGTAGTTTCATTGTCCCAGGTCGGCTCGTACTATGAGGTGAGTGATTTTCACTCACCTCATAGTTCTCCTTTAACTTTTTTCATTGGGTCTTCGGAAACTGACACCGTGTATGTGGACTCCACAATCAATCTATAGTTGGATGTTTGGTGTGAGTTTGCACAGCGTCTGTCGGACGTTGGCTGCTTGGACCAGCTGCTGATGGATGCAAATTCATGGATGTATGTGGTCAAAGTCCACATACAAGGGTTCATTTTCCCAAGACACAATGGGGGGAGCAGAGAGAGGTGCACTCCTTAAAGTAGTATTAAACTCTCAAACTTTTTTTCAATAACGAATCCAGATCAAAACAAGTCTACACTGAGTGGCCAGATTATTATGACCACCCCATCAGTACTTTGTTGGGCCGCACATCGCCCAGCAAATCGTTGCTTTAGATTTTCGCACAAAAACACTTACAATCATCATGTTTCTAAACAGCTGCTCCCATCTCTCTCAGCTCAGCTTTCCTGAACTTCCTGTCCAGTATAAGATTACAAGGGGCAGAGCAGACTCCAGCAACTGCTCATCTACTAGCTCGGGGAGGGAAGTAGATTGATTTGCTGTGTTTGTGGAGACACGCAGCTTACTAGCACACACAAGGGTGACTCCATAGCACTCTCCTTGAGAAAGGAGTCACTCTGAAACAGGAAGTCAGGACCACTGCTCAGGGGATCAGCTGATTCTGCAGGAAACTGAAACTCAACCAGCGTCCATTGTAAGAGATTTCATCAGCATTTGGAATCGCTCAAATTCCTTTTGACTTTAATATCACTTTAAAAAAAAAAAAAACCTTTCTATCAATCTGCAGCTGCTGCAATTTTCAATTCAACGCAACCCAGCGGTCTGGAGGCGCTCTGCGCACCACTGGTGTATAGTAAAACAGTAGAAAGGTATCATGGCACACTCACAAGCCCGCATGCAAAACAACTTGTCTCACCACTAAGGTTAATAACAGAGGTTTGGATACAGGTCTTCTGCAGAAAATGTGAAAGCCGCACTGCCGCGCCAAGGCACCTCTATATAGTGTGGTCCTAACTCTAAACTATGAGAGTCTCCATCTTGGAGCACATAGGGGCAGAAGATTTCAAATTGGGTGCAGGTTTGTCAGGAGGAAGCCCAACCTCCTTAAAGGCTGTGCGGCTTTCACATTTTCTGCAGAAGACGTGTATCCAAACCTCTGTCATTAACCTTAGTGGTGAGACAAGTTGTTTTGCATGCGGGCTTGTGAGTGTGCCATGATGCCCTTCTACTGTTTTAAGCCCATTTCGTGTGCACCTTGCTGTATAGCCGGTGACGAATTGCTGAGTGCGTTTGTCGTTTGTTTTGCTTGACCACTGGTGTATAGAACACCCCCAGAAGCGTTATTTCCTGGCGCTGGGATTTTCTCAGAAATGTGCACAAAAGGTACAAATACGATTTTTAGGTAAATCGCTATTTTAAGGTATTTTATTTTTGGTAAGATGATCCTGCCTATGAGTCTACTAAAAAGGGATACAGACACAGCAGCTGTCCTCATTAGAACAATAATATTTGTTTAGGTGGTTACAATGAACGTAGATCCTCCCATTCATGAATCAGTCTAGAAAGGACATGATGGAACGCAGCTATTTCTTCAGAACACAAAGGTCAGAATCTGCCAAATGTATGGTAAAATACTGTCCTTGTAATGTACAAAGATCACCCAGAGGGGATTTTTTTTTTTCCGTAAACAAAAAAGTGAAGTTACACGTTAATGGAAACTTCTCCCGAGTACTGGGACTTGCACTGATAATTTTTCATACAGAAAAACAGGATTTTTGTAGTCAACGTGAAATCCTTTTCTATGCGTTCACTGAAGGACACAGTGGGGACGAAGATCGTAGATCTGGAAACACCGATCTTAACATTCCATATTGGATCAAATGGGGTTTCTTGAATGAAAACCACATTCACAGATTTGTTCAAGAAAAAATCCCTTCGATTTGTTTCGGCACTACGGTCAAATTCGATCTTTGAATGGACCCCATGAACTATTCGCTAATTACATTTATTTTCAAACGGAATGCTAACCGTCTATACCCAGATTAATGGAAGCGCGCTCTGCCCCCGACAATCTCCTGCAGTAACATGAACACGAGACTTCTTTTCTCTGGAAAAATTTCAGAATCATAGAGAAGAAAATGTGTACGTCCAGCCCTGCCCCGAGGACAGACCCGTGTGAATGCCAGTCATCATTAAACTCAGTTATGTAGACCTTCCCTCGTCATATTCCATGATGGTTTTCGCACGGCAAAGAATATTTTTAGGTAACACGTTCGGATGTTGCTTCTGCTCGAGGATTTACATTCCACGTAAAACATTATAAACAGACAACATTAAATCTGAATTTTATAATAGTAAGTTTATACATATTACATCGAAAATTAAGATGTAGCTCACTACTCTAAAATCTCAATTTGTAATTGGTCTTCCAGCACTTGGCGTGCGCAACCAAAACGCAGCCGGTCAATACCTGATATGCCGGCTGGACAAATCTCTGGAGTCATGTAGCCAATGCGCCTGGAAAATTACAGCCAAACTGTTTTCTAGTTGTTGTCAATGGAGCTTGCTCCTAAAAAAATAAATCCTGCTAGATCCAA